CCACCATGGTCACAACCCATCTTGAGGAGTTTGCCCCCTCACATATACTAATGTGCCACAAACAGGACTTTAATATCACCAACCATTCCCATTTTATTACGGTGTATCCATATAAATGGCCCACCCTGTACATTAGATTCATCAGAGTGACATAATGTTTGGCAGTCTTGGAGTCAGCAAAGAAGACCCCTCGGGTGGAATCTACAAGCCCAAGAGACTTGAAAGTGTTTTGGATAAAATCCAGGAAAACACTGTAAATCCTGTTCCTCAGTTAGCCACGACAATTGCAAATGTGCCTCAGTGAGCCAACCATTCAGCGCTCAGGCAATCCACTGCTGTACTGGAAAGTCAACCAACCTCGATTGCCCACTCTGGTTTCTACAGCAGCTAAATTTCTCTGTGCACCTACAACAAGTGTGGAGAGTGAGAGACTCTTCAGTACAGCCTCTATTGTTATTGATGAAAGGAGACGCAGCCTGACAGCTGAGAAGGCTGAAATACAGATCTTTCTAAAGAAAAACCTCCCTCTCATGTTAACGTGGACACATTACAAAAGGGTTATTAAAAGAATGAGCTTTTTTTTCCATTAGAGTTAAGGCAGCTAACGTTTTATCATAAAAAAGTGGTATCGTGCCATCCCTAGTTAATAGCATAGGGACTGGGCAGGTAGAGAGCTGAAGAGTGGACAGACGGAAATTGGCCGAAAGGGGAAGAGGAATCAAGAGGGTGCTCTCAAATAAACAGAAGCCTGAGACACTGAGACACATACCAGAGGAAGGTTGAAATCACCAGAATGCTAAAGGCAACTTAAACTAAACTGGTTACCACATCACTGCAATGTAATAATCTGGCAATCAATGAATGAGTCCTTTTATTCAGGCAGTGATCAATGGATGTTGCAGGTGTGCCAGCGAGAAGCCAGACTGGATAGAGAGCACTGCCTCCTGGAGGACATCACACAGCTGGGAAAGACCTGTCTGTATTCACATGCTCACAAAAAAAATGGGTAAAAGGGGGAGAGAAAGAGAAGATGAGAAAGAGGAAGAAAATAAAGAAGAAGAAAGGAGAAGGATAGTCCTGTTAGTGGAGGATAAAAGGGGGAAATCTAGGAGCTGACAAGCACTGATTGGCAGCCTGGCTCTAATGGATATCTACTCCCTTTTCAGAGCACAATCAGGTGAGGAGAGTGTGAATCATGCAGAACCCAGATGTTCAGAGGCTACCTTCTGGTCCTGAACACAGGTACTTTCATGCAACAGAGCACAAAAGCAATGTTGGAGGGGAATGAAACTTGTCCATTACAAGTCATGGTTGTACATAAGGCATTGTAAAAGGTACCTTTTAAAGTGAGCTGAATGGTTCCCAGTATTCCTGGGTTTTAGTCAGACGTCTACACAGAGATCAGTCCAGAAAAGCAATACTGCAACATCACAAATCATGCGCATGACTTCTTTTTTGGTTAAACTTCCTACTAGTATTAGATATTTAACACAAGTTATGAAAATCTAGGTCGATATGTAATCATTGATGTCACTCATGTATCTGAAATGAGTTTAAAAAATATCTGAATTGTCTGAGTCATGTCCACTTTTGAATAACTAATGTGTTCTTATACAATCTAACAGGTCCAATTGTACACATAAGACTTTTGTTGTAATGAAGAATTCCTTCTCTGCGCTCTACCTAGGCTGTCAGATGTATCCAGAGAACAGTTGCCTTTCCTCCAAGACCCCACAGAGTGCCCATCAATTTCTAACAGAAGAGTTTGCCCTGATGTCACAACATCGATTTTCCTTAAGCTCTCTCTCTTTGATCTGAACTGCCATGTTGCTCTCAGAAACAAACACTTGAATAATACCTGCATTTTTATATTGGATTATGTTGGTTAGTATGTTACCCACTCCCTCAAGAGGTGTGCTCATTTTTGATCACCTAATTTGCACTGCTTATGGTGGATGGCTTGCATTCATACATTTATGGATTTTAAAAAAAAAAAGCAAGCATCCCAATAGCCGTGTGCTTGTGGCCTCTGTAATATGTACACGACTGAAATAAATGTGGACAGTTTGAACACAGCCTTTCTGTATAGTACAAAGCACTATGACCTGCTTCCAGATATGAATTTACTTTTTAGATGAATGCCTAATGTGTTTGGAAATGTGAGATTGCTTGTAATGTGTTTATATGAGTTAGACTACAGTCTCCTCAGTTCTCCTGCTTAATATGAAGCTTTGTGTTTTCATTTAGAGTAGACTAGAGGATGGAAACCTGGCGTAAATCTGTAATTGACTACAGATTAAATAAAGTTTAACCTTTCATACACATGCATTTCAGGCTTTAGCACTCTTGGCTCAGCATTAATTTTTTGATGAGTTGATGTCATCCATTGACCACTTGAAATTGTGAATGCTTTGCTTTACTTGTGATTACGAGCTTAGTGTTCAAACACCAGCACAGATGGCAGCAAACTAAAATGCATCTGTTCAAATGTATCTGCACTTTCCGCCAGCCAACCAAATCATGTCGTGATTGGCAGCCATCAAAAATCTTCTGGTATAATTCTGGCTGGATGTTTGACCATTTTTCTTGTCAGAGTTCCTTTAAATTGCTTTGTTTCCTGTCATTTACCCAGCTTTTCAGTGTAGTCCACATATTTTCAACATAGTTAAAATCAGGGCTTTGGGAAAGCCTTTCAAGAAGCCTAAGGTTCTCAGTCATCCAGGTCATCGTAGTCTAAGTCTAACATTTCACCTCTCATCTGAGAAGCTTCTTTAGTGCTAAGAGCAATTTGTGGAGAGTCCCAGATTTTAAGCCCTATGGAAGTGTCCCCAAGAGGGTCATGGACCCCCTGTTGATCTTCTACCTAATCACACGAGCCAAGGTGTGAAAAAGGGTGTGGGTCACAATCAGCCAAGGTTTCGGGTGAACCCATTGTGAAACCTAGCCCCACCCTATCATGTGATTTCCTGAGGTCAGATGGCCCAGGATGTGAGTGAGAGTTAAGGTGTCTGTGGAACCCACCGCCTCTGTTCAAAGATGGTCGCTCACAGTGGACATAGATGGCTTCTTTCACTCCTCTTTCAAACCATTTGTCTTCTCTGTCCAAAATGTGAACATTGGCATCCTTGAAAGAGTGACCTCTGTTCTTTACATACAGATGGACAGCCGAGTCTTGTCCCATAGAGGTGGTTCTTCTATGTTGTGCCATGCATTTATGAAGTCCACTTCAAAAATGTCTTCAAGGAAACTTAAAGAAGTCCAGATGCTTTTCTTTCCAAGGTCCTTAGACCTTTCCAGAAGCCAAATGTTAGCCTGCTTTATCCATTTAAAACATAGTTTTGATGTGTGTTTGGGATGACCGTCCTGTTTGAAAACTGAGCTGTGTCAAGTTTCAACCGTCTAGCTGTAGATTTGAGGGTAAGTTGAATCATTTGTAGGTAGTCCTCATTATTCAATCCACTTTATGCAGTACTACTAGCAGCAAAACAGCCCCAGAGGCTTGATGCCATGATGATTGACAGCTGGCAAAATGGCCATAAAGCTCAATCTTTGTCTCATGTGACCAAAATTTTTCTCCAGAAGGCATTTAGCTTGTCCATGTAAACAGTTGGAGCAGGTCCTTCTTTGTTGGTTGGCACCTTCTCATTTCATAAAAATGTAAAACACCTCACTGTGGACAATGATGCTGGTGTCCCAGCGGTTTTCAGGCTTGAGTCCCGGTGATCCTGAATAATTCTCTCATCTGAGGGCGACAACTGAGGTCTTCTCCCCAACCTTGGCAGTGTGGTGGAGACATATCTAAATAATTTGAACTGTTTAATCTGATGATCCTGGAATCTAAGTAAGTAAACTCATTTAAACGAAGTCTACTAATTTTGCCAAGAGGAATGGTCAAATAGCCAGGCAAGCTTGTTGATAGCTACAGCAAGTTTGACCAGTTGCACCTGGTCAAGGTGCAACACCTGGTCATGGTACAACTTGCTAAAGGACATTTAGCTTTAGCCCTGTGTGGATTAGAAAAGATCCAAAATAAATTCAAACTTGTGCACCCAATTCTTGTTTTTTTAAGTCATTAAACATGTATGCAATACAATCATTCCACCAAAGAAATCACCCATGATGAGTGTGTGTGTATATATATATATATATATATATATATACATATATATATGTGAGAGAGGGCTTTGGCATATTGCTGAATATGGTAATGCTAGTAAAGTGAATTGAGAGAGATGCAGGTTTAACTTGAGTGAGAGAAACACAGAGAGAGTGTGAGAGAGCGACTGAAGGAGGGAGAACAGGACTTCCAGATTCAGGAATAAGAAGAGGAAAGAGAAAGCGGCACAATAAATAGCAGAGAGAAAGCTTGAGAAAGAGAGAGAGAGAGCGAGAGAGGGAGCATACCAATATGGTATGCGGGGGAGAGACCCTGGGTAAAAAGGGAGAGAAAGAGAGAGAGTGAGAGCAGGAGATCCCAGTGAGAGAGCTGCAGAGAGGGAGGGAGGGAGAGAGAGGCTGCATGTGAGAAGCAGCGTGAGCGAGTAGAAGCAGAATAGCATTCAGCTCCTGTTCACCGCAGAAGACGACTCAACAACTTAACGGCACTCTCCTGGAAAGCTGAAAACACACGGAGCCTCTTCAGTTTGCTGATGGGAGAGAGAAAAGAAGTTTGCTTTCCTCCTCCTCCTTCTCTTCCTTCTGCTTCTTTTTTAGTTTTTTTCCTTTTTGGAAAGTGACAAGATGTGGAGATGTGCAGAATGAATGATCAAGGTCTGTGAAGGAAGGAGATCTGTGTTTATTCATGAAGGATTTGAAGAGTGACTGACATTTTCCACTGAGGGCTTATGCAAGTACAAGGAGGAAAAATGTAAGGAATATTTAATTCTCTGGAGGTCTGACATTGTTCTTAGTTACAGTGAACAAGGAATACTTTCTTACTATGAGTCAAGAAATGCGAGTGAAGGAAGGAGACTGGAAAGTTAGTGACACATACTCACACATGTCAGATATCATCATGTTCATCATCCATGTCTGTCGGCTGCCGACGCACTCTCACAGGTGCAGGGATGAGTTGAGACGAGAGAGCGAGGACGCTTGAAGATTTCCACACACATTAGGAAACACGGACGTACAGCATAATGACATCTGTGCAGGAGTGTCAGTTAGGATAAACAAATTCTGAACATTCACACGTAAGTCAGGGTTTGTGTCAAACTGATAACACCAGTGTGTCATTATACTATTTAAGAATGACCATTCCAAGGCTAGAGGATTTTTTTTAATTTGTTTGTGTTCTCATACTCCTTAAAGATCATACATTAAAGACTGAAAAGAAACAAAGTTACTGAATAACTGCTTCAACCAGGCAATGAAATTCTGATTTGTAACATTCCCGACTTCACATGGACCTGATATTTTTAACATGAACACAGCCTTGACTTCAAACTCCAAGGAGGAGAAACCTGCAAATGCCATCGCGCCAGCTTTGAGTGGATTCTATAATCAGAAGAGATGTTTTTTTTTCTAAATCACTGAAGACATGGGACCTAAAACAACTCTGTTCCGTTTGGGATATTTTGGGCAACGGAATACTTTTGTTTCTTTGTTTTCACAGAGCCAGATGACTCACTGTTGGCACAGTAAGGTTATTAACCAAGCGAGATATCATTTTTAAGCGTTTGGCATTGTCCTGTGAGATCAAACAGCTGCTCTTCTGGTTGCGCTGAATTCAGCAGAATGCTATTTTTGTTTCCCCGTTATGGAGATGATTTTTTGATCCTCTGACAGTCAATCCGGGGACTTTCTTCTTTTTTTATTTGACATGATGGAGCAAAGAAGTGGTAAACCATATTAAATTACAGGTTAATTGCTCGAGTGATGAACGGTGTTGTATTTATAATATTCAGAGCAACGGGAATGGAAAACAAGTGAGCGATGAACAGACTTTCCTCTTTTCTCCGCCACTCTGACCCACTTTCCAGGCAGCGGTCCTGAGCATTTATCGAGCTGACACCATGAACCTGCATGGTGGCAATGTGTCAGAGTTGATCTCTAACACTGTCACAGCCGTTACCACTCTGGGGTCTAACCCCTGGCCTCCACGCGAGGAAGGTGGCCTCCAAAGCGGCAATGCCACGAACCCGGGCTGCCAGAGGAACAACGTGGTTCATAATGGCAATGACGCACAGCTGGGGAACTGGTCTCACCATAACGTGGTGGGAGTCTACGGGTCTCAGTGTCCTCCCTCGGAGCAGCTGATGCAGAAAAACTGGGCAGCCCTGCTGATTTTAGTGGTCATCGCTGTCACAGTCATGGGCAACATCCTAGTGATCCTGGCCGTCTCCCTGGAGAAGAAGCTGCAGAACGCCACAAACTATTTCTTGATGTCACTGGCAGTAGCTGACATGCTTCTCGGCATCTTGGTCATGCCGGTTTCCATGGTGACCATTCTCTATGGTAAGCATTGAGTGACACTCATATTGGGCTTCATTAAGTTGACATTTGGTGTGTTGCTGACTCGAGTCCAGCAGGCACAGTGCTTTGTTGTTGTTGATGTGGGCTTTTTTTCTCCTCAAAGAGTGAATGGTTACATGACTAATGACTAAACAAACTCCACCTGCCTGCATGTGTAAAGCTTTGTTCAACTGCAAATCATTTCTGAGACATTGGTGAGAGCAGGAACTGAAGAAATCACATTATATCTGACGTTTTTCTTTGCATTTTGAAAAACTTATATTTGGTTTTTAGAGAACTGCTCTTGAAAATATGTCTTATGAGGCAATCCCAGTCTGTGCATGTTAGAATAAATGCATGGCTGTGGCTTGAGGACAGATGGAGAGCAGCAGTGATGGAGGTGTTTGGTGCTGTTGTTGTGAGTGAAGTGTTTACTCCAAGTGCTACTTCAGCACGACAAGAAAGGGGCACACAGAGGTGGTGCAGAGACCAAGTTACTGCAGTCCTTCAAATCACTGTTTCACAAAAATACGGCAGCATGCAAAAGTTTGGACGTCTTCAGATTTCTGTTACTGTGATGAACACAGCATGAAGTGATCTTTAAAAGGCATAAAGTTATAGATTAAAAATGTTCTTCTTTTTTTTAGAAAAAAAGGGAGAGTGACAGTAAATACGAAGAATGTGATTCAGAAGTTTGGGGGACTCTTTCATAGAAATGACCAACTATTACCAAGTTGTGTCAGATTTACTTGTTGTGCTTGGTCACACAGTAGTCATCAGGAAAGTATTGCAGTTTTCAAATCTAACGGATCCCCATTTTCCAAGAGAATGCTATAAGAACAAAGCAAAAATGTAGCTGGTCTCAGCTTGGAAAGAAAAGTGTCTGGACTTCTTTAAGTTGCTTGAAGATCCATTTTGGATGCATTGTGGACCAATATAGTTAAAACAGAACTTACTGAAAGCCATGAGAAAAAATGTGGGGGAAAAAAAATGCAGAATTGTTAAATATAGGGCTGATCAGTCACACTTATATATCTGTTCCAACCAGTAACACTATGAGTGAGCAAGAATGAATTTCATTAAGTATCAGTGAACAGTAAAATAAATAATAAATAAAACTAAAGATTAAATTAAAACATTTTCTATAATCCATAGGTGGAAGCTGAAGGTTTTACTATGGCCCTCATAGTTACCCTGATCAAAATATCAGAAATTTATTTTATTTATTTCAAGACAGCTGCACATGCAAAGCAACCAAGAAATTTCACAGAACTACAAACCTTTTGCAGGAAGGAAGAAAAGGCAAAAATCCTCCCAAACAAAAACTGAACAAATCTTAGCTGCTACAAAGCTGCAATAATTACTGAAGAGTGAGCTTCTAAGTTCCCAAAGCTTTTCTTCAGACTCCTTTACTTATTTGTTACTTTAAAACTGTTCTGGAAACAGAAAGTTGTTTTCTTTAAATCAGGTATAACATGGTAATCACTGACAGGTGCAGTAGATAACACTAATTATCTCTTCACCATGGCACCTGTTAGTGGCTGAGATATATTACAGAGCAAGTGAACATTGATGGTGAGGGGTGATGTGTTAGAAGCAGGAGAAATAGGCCACATTGTGACAGTTAGATGACTGGGTCAGAGCATCTTCAAAACTGCAGCTCTTGTGGGGGGTTCCTGGTCTGCAGTGGTTAGTATCTATCAACAGTCGTCCAAGGAAGGAACAGTGATAACCAGTGGGTCATGGCCTGCTAAGGCTCAGTGAAGTGATGCACACTAACTGGTCTGCATTGCTGCAGAACAGTCAGAGTCCCCATGCTAACCCTTGTCCATGACAATGGGCACATAAGCATCAGAATTGGACCACGAAGGAATGGAAAAAGGTGAGCCGATAAATCACGTTTTCCTTTCTATCATATGGAAGGCTGGGTGCATGCGCATCACTTATTTGGGGGACACCTGGCACCATTATGTACTATGGGAGGAAAGAAAGCAGGTGGAGGTAGTGTGAGGCTTTGGGCAATGCTCTACTGGGAAACCTTGGGTTCTTCCATCCGTGTGGATGTTATTTGACATCCACCACCATCCATTTGAGATCTCAAATCTAATTTAAGCATATGTGGGGTGTGCTTGACAAATAATTCCGATCCTTGGAGGCCCCAACTCACAACTTTTTTAATGGAACAAGCAACATGGGGACCAACACAATATTAGGCAGGTGGTTATAATTTTGTGCCTGAACAATGTATATACTACCAGCAATCACATAAAGCCATAGTACTGTTAGGTCAGATTCAGTTCAATTTAATTCAGTTCATCGTTATTAATATAGCACCACATCACTGTGGCACAGCCAAATAAAGATGTCGAGATGTGAAATGACCGCAGTGAAACTCACAGTGGCTGCATGCCTGTTGTCTACTCCCAGCTCCTATTGTCTCATAACCCAAAATGAGGTTATTCAGAATTCAGAGACTGCCATTTAGCACAGCCTCTGGGTGTCTCTAGAAGTGCCTTTAAAGAAAAATGGAGACCACATAAAGGATGAGGGAGGGATGATTATTACAAAAAAAAGAAGTCCAATGACCCAATCATGCTTTCATATTTGGGGTAAGTAGAGATGGCCTCTCTCTCCATTGTATGTAAGCACTGCTGTCATTTCTGGTGGTTCATGTGCTGCTGATTAATGCAGCAGGAAGCTGAGAGTTTCCTCTACCCTCCTTCATTTTCTTTGTTGATTTGCCTCTCACTGTCCCACCATACCCAGATAACCTCTCCAAGACATACACACATACACCCACCTTCCACCGTCCTTCACTGTTGCCCATTTCCTGCTGATCCATTCTCATCTTCCTTGAGCTTCCCTGTGTCTCTGTAAATGTCACAAGCTGCTGCTCACATAAGAAGCTTTAAGCCCTAAGTAGCAAATTCATTTGCGTGAGAAGAAGTGCAGCAAATTAGTCAAAAGGAAGAGTGCTTCCAAAAGAACGACCTCCGGTGCCTATTACTCGCCTTCCCTGGTCTTTAATGAGAAGACAAAGGAACTCATTAGCCACACTGATGCAAAACAAACACACACAAAGCAATTATTTTCTCATGTTGTTACACCGTTGCAGTGATTGTGATTTGTTTACTGATTCACTGAGCAAACGCAGCTTTGTTTCAGGGTGAGAAGGCATAATGATAATATTACAAGTGATCTTATGAAATGTGATAGTGACCATGAGTGAGATTTTAAGAGGTTATTATTGATGTCAAACAGAAGATTATAGGCGAAATCAAGTGGCAAGGTTATGGATGGTTATTAACGAGGTCACGGATGAGTTTGTGCTGCTGAACTTGTCAAGATTATATTTGTAATGGGGTCAATAATGAAGCTAGGAGAGCCCACATTTTATGGATAATAATAAGTGAGATCACTGATAAAGCTGAACCAGTTGAGAGGCCCTTGGGCAAAAATTTATTGCGCAAGTGCCAAATTACCATTCCAGCCAAACCTCCTGTGCTGAGTCATAAACTTCTAACAGTTAAAACGGTGCAATTAATTAGAGAAAGTGTAGAAGTGAAAGAAGCCAGCTCAAGTTAAAAATGTGGGCTATTTAATTACTTTTGGCAAGTTAGACCTTTCATCAATTAAATGTGTTGCAGAAAACTCATGTAGCTAGCACCTGCTCCACCTGAATTTCAGTCTACAATCTGAGAAGGTGCGGAGGTTTTCTATACATACACTGGGATACATTGCTAGCTATAATTTAATAATGCAAGTTGCAGCTGTGTTTACACGAAAGACATGAATTTCTCCTTGAATACTCTACATTTATTCTCCGAGATGTGCTAAAACTTGAATAAGTGGAATACAAATGGAGATGGAGAACATTCACCTATAAAGTTGCAGCAAGTGAACGGATCTGTTTCACTTTTCACAGCTTACTACCATTTGGCAGGTATTCAGGATCTTCCATGCAAACTATAGGTTACTGTGACAACCTGCCAGACACGAAAGTAATCGCAAGGAAGTTTTTGATACAGCACTGTATACCTTGTTACAACTAATGTCTTGCTTGCAACTGCCAGCAACCATTCACAACCCCTGGCGTAATGGTTGAGGACACTGTACTTTGCTCTAGTGACTGGTAGTTACCAAGACATCACTGACCAGTGTCTAGGGCTGTGCAAATGTGGCTTTAGCAATCACTTCATATTGACTTCCACCAACGATTTGTAGCCAACTGGGGAATAAAGTTACCAGGGTTCACCAATTTGTCCCTAGGCCCGTGTGACAGTGGCCTAAGATGGTGAGCATGGTAAATAGTATACTGGCCAAGTCAGCTACTATGAGAAAGAAAATGACAAAAAATTAGACACTTTAAAAACTTCAAATGCATAATAGCAATAAAAAGTCAACATGACTACAGAGAGATACGTCAAAAGACACATAAACAAAAGTGATTACAGAGGTAAAAAACCACTACAAAGAGACGTAACATGACAAGTACAAAGACACAAAACAGCAACATTCAAATTGACTACAGCAGGGATAATGCAACCACAGAAGCACATGAGACAGAGCAAGCTGGACCGTAACTACAAAGAGACTAAAGCTCTCTTTAAATCACTCTCCATTGTTTTATTTTCGTTTTTTTAATCCTGCTGTCCCACTGCATAGAGGAGTTGGGCCTTTTTCTTGCCTGTGCTCAGGGACTCAGTCCATGGCAGCCTAGGCATGCTCACACTGTCACTGTATATGTGTTGACACTCATAGCATGGTGTCTCACAGAGATGCCAGCATAGCTGTTATTTGCCTTGATTTTGGGAGAATCGGATGTACCCAACATGAAAATGCTTTGTCTTTAAAAAGGCCTCCGGAAGCTTTGTGGAGCAAAAATACGTTTCTTCACTTTTTACACTGTTTTGAAATTGCATTCCCTGCTGAAACAGTCAGGTTTCTCTTCAAATATACTGTTATGTTACTCAGACAGGAAGCATAGCCATATATCTTATTAG